CAGCATGCCTTCAAGAGAGAAGGGAAGCTTTGGTCAGATCCACAGTGGAAGGTATTACCTTCACGTTTGTGTTCATTTATTGCACACTTCACGCAACTTGTTCCATGGAGGGACATGAGACAGAACTTTCTGTTTGAGGACTTGTTGGATCATTATGATGATGGAGCACTGTGTGGCACTTCAATGTTTTCGGACCGTGGTGCTGAGTGTTCATGTTTGTTGCAAGACTTGCATCATGTTGAGACCTCTATTCCAGTGCCATTGAAGCACATACTTTCACAGAGGTTTACCACTCAGTTCCTTGTTCAAACATTGAGAAAGATTGATCAGTTACCAAGGAGTACAGAGGCTAGTGTGAGAGAATCAACTGACCCCAGAATCGAGCTGATTCCTGGACTTCAAGATGTCAGGAAGAAGACATTGCCTCAAATGTACTTTGAAGATTGCAGTGTGTTCAGAGGAACATATGGACGTGTTAATCCCTTGTTCCAACATCCTGAGGATGCTGTCTTACTCATTTGGAAGCCTGGTGACTATGGTCATGTTTACTTCATGTCCGTGTCGCAGTCGTATCCACACCATGAACAGCTCCGTATCCATGATTGGAGCATGATCGTCTTTTCACGTGAAATGACTGGTGCTATCAAAAGGAGAGTGGTTGATCCTCCTACTCAAGGAGTTCCACCACCAAATGACGACGATCTAATACATCCAGATCAGCATGGTGATGTTCCACCAAACAATGATGATAACATGTTGAGTGGTGATGAACCAGAAGATCCTCCGTTCCAATCGAAGAGATTGTTGATCCTGGACAAGATGACGATCCTCCACCAGGACCTGATCCAACGTCTGGGCCAATCAGAGTTCAAAGGAAACAGAGACAGATCTCAGTTGATTCTACAGATGCTTTACCAAAGGCAAAGGCCAAAGTTATCATCAAGAGGGCAAAGGTTCAATTACCAGGTCATGTTAAACCTATTTCAGTTCCTACTCAGAAACATGATGATGAAGGAGAAGAAGGACCTTCACATGATCCTAATGCCTCAAGTTCAAATGATAACTCAATTCCACTGCCGACTACTACACCGACATATGCCAGGTGAGTTTGCGCAGCCAGCGCAACAGCAGTCGCCACAAGGAACACCAGAATTGGTATCATCTCAAAACGACGATGATGAAACACAACCATATGAAACAGATACTCCTGTTTTGACTGAGGAAGAGATTGCTCAGCTTCAGGAAGAAGATGTGGACACTGAACCTTACTCATCAGACCACTCTCATTTTGCCGACATCGGTGGTATTGTCTTTGTTCCTTTCGGACCTAAGGTTCAAGCTGCTCCTGATTTTGGTTCATATGATGTGACTGGTTTCAATCAGTTTGAACAGTACTTGGCCAAGAATGGAAAGAAGCAGCCAAAGGCAGAATCAGTTATCACTCAAGAAGTCTTGAGAAAGTATGCTAAGGAGATCAAACAAGCCAAGCTTGAAGAATTCAGAAGCTTTCTTGATTTCACTGCCATGACATTCCGTGACAAGAGACGTCATAAGATTGATAACTATGTCGCTGGACAGATGGGTGCTTACCATCAAGGTTGATAAGGATGGACAGTTCAAGAAGTTCAAGGCTAGATGGGTATGTAGGGGCTTTCAAGATGCTCTAAAGTATGACTTACAGACTGACAGTCCTACTGCTACCAGGTATGGTTTTCGTGTGGCATCTCAGCATGCAGCCTCGATGTACTGGGATTTACTCCATTTAGACTTGAAAACTGCCTTCCTTCAGGGGGAAACGTACGACTTAGACCGACGCGTTATCCATGTTCAGTTGCCTACTGACATTGGTTTGCCTCCTTACTTGGTTGGTTTATGCACTCGTTCCGTCTATGGACTTGCGGACGCACCAAGGAGATGGTGGAACCGCTTAGACAAATTTCTGATTTCACTTGGCATTCAACCAACAAGAGCTGACAGGTGTACATATTTGTGCTATGATGGTGCTTTTAAGGAGCCAAAACAGGTTAGCTTTGCTGACTCTGAGGCAACAGAACCGGCACCTGTGTCATACTATGGCGTAGGCTCACAAGAGAGTGAGGTAACGCGTGATGAATCCTCCGACATTGCTGAGGAAGTTCATGAGTCTCTTTTGTTTGAAGAAAGATTGTTTTCCGCTTGCTATCAACAGAACCAGACATGGAAACAGAGAAAAGAGTTCAAGGACAAGAAGGTTGAAGATTGTGCATGGACTCCTGTTGTTGATGAGAACATGTTGAAGTTTTTGGAATCTGTTGAACACAAGTCTGGTTGGTATCCTTTTACTCCCGATCCATATTATGATAGAAAGAAGTTCCATCTGAGGACTTCTATTGCGAAGAGAAAAGGAGTTTGGTGGTTACTTGGGATGAATCATGACTTGAACAAGGAAAACGTTTCCACAAGTTTGGAAGAAGAAGCTGAAGTACTTGCTTCAGTCTTCTTACCTTCAGAGCGTACATACCTTGCCACGACGCCACAGCTGACACCTGAGATTGTTGAGGAACTTTTGGAACACTTCATGGACCCTGTCAAAACCAATTGGCATGTGTTGTCTTCATGTTGATGACTTGTTTATTACTGGAACCCTAGAGTTTCTGGAGAGGTTCAAGAAAGTTGTCAAGTCACAGTTCAAGATTGGTCATGAAGATCATGTGAATGACTTGATGTTCACTGGTGTGAAATGGATCACTGATGAGAAGGCTAAGAAGAAATCACACATCACAGTTGAACAGTCCCTGTGTGTCAGTGAACTCACTGAAGTTGTCGTACCTAAAGGTTTGAAGGATGAAGACAAATGTGACAAGGATCTCCACACTGCCTATAGGTCACTCTTAGGTAGTATCAACTGGTTACAATCAAGAACCCAATTTCAGTCATGCTATCAGTTCTCACGTTGTGCTTCTGCTGCTGCCTCGCCCACTATAGGTGATTGCAAGGCGTTGAACAAACTTTGCAGGCAAATTGGAGGTGATCCCATGGAACTTATGTTCTGGCCACTTCAAGGTGATCCTAGGTTAGTTGCTATGCCTGATGCAGCATTCAGAAACAACAGTGACAAATCCTCACGACGCGCGATAATTATTTTTATGGCTGAACCAAGGAAGGAAAAGAGTAAAAACACTAAAGGTTCTCTGACTTTCTTTGAATCAACCAAGATAAAACGAACTACCTTGAGTACCACTGTCGCTGAGTTATATGCATTGATGAAGTGTTATGGCACGTGTCAAATGTTAAGAGGACTCATCAAGGACATCACTGGACTTTCAAGTGAGATTCACATGAGGACTGATGCAAATAATCTTGTGACTACGGCCTGTACGACTCATGTTCCTGAACAACAAGAGACCATTCATATGATACAGATGCTTAGGAAAGAAGCATGTTCAGGTTCCACTGCTTACTTGTCACACATCAGAACTCAATGGTGTTTAGCTGACTGTTTAACCAAAAAGTCTGCCAATCCTCAGAATCTTTTTGATGCTGTTCGACAAGGTTTTCTTAAAGAAGTGGATGCTCATCCTCCATTCAGATCATTACTTGAACACAAGGCTTACCTCAGGTCATGGTTGCCAACAATTTGCAGTCATGTTGATTTCAGGTATGATGTATTTCTGTTAGGTGACACCCTGAGGGATTCCTGACTATTTATTGAATTTGTGCCTGCGGCTCAAAAGGCAATAGAATCTCGAAGCTGCTACTACTACTACTTCTACTACTACTCCTACTACTCCTCCTCCTACTACTACTACTACTACCGCCACTACGACTACGACTACGACTACGACTAGGACTACGACTATACGACTACGACTAAACGACTATACGGCTATACGGCTATACGACAATACGACAATACGACTACGACTATACGACTATACGACTATACGACTATACGACTATACGACTATACGACTATCCGACTATGCGACTATACGACTATACGACTATACGACTATACAACTATACGACTATACGACTATACGACTATACGACTATACGACTATACGACTATACGACTCCGACGACGACGACTACTACTACTACTACTACTACAATACTACTACCACTACCACCAACACCACGACTACTACTATTACTACTACTGCTACTACTGCTACTACTACTACTACTGATATTACTATGACTACGACTACTATCCGACTACCACTACCATCACCACACCCACCGCCACACCCACCACCACCACCATCACCACCACACCCACTACACCACTCTACCAAGTCACTACCTATCCCTCCTACTCCTACTCCCACTCCTACTCCCACTGCTACTCCCACGCTGGTAGCTAGCGAAACTGTCTACAGCACTACAGTCGTCTACTAGTCACAGGACGTATACGGTACTAAACTGATTGAACCGTGCTCATTTGGTATGCGATCAATAGGTTGCATAGCGCTTGCTAGTCAAGCTGCTTCTGATCTACGGTTCTGCCTTCGTCTCTTCTTCTGCTTCCTCTTCTTCCTCTTCTTCCTCTTCTTCCTCTTCTTCCTCTTCTTCCTCTTCTTCCTCTTCTTCTTCTCCTCCTTCTTCTCTTATCTTCTGCTTCTCTCTGGGGCTTTCACCTGCGTGAGCATCAACCTCCCTTGGGGCAACCTCTCTCCGCTTCCACCCTGTCCCCTTCCATGCAATGGTCTGCTGTCAAGCTGGAGGCTCATACATAGTACCTGGCGCTACTTTGCTGGGGCGGGTAGTAATTTGGTATAATTACTGTCAATAGGTTTCTACGGCAAGCACTTGCTACACAAGCTGCTTCCATTTTACGGCTCTGTCTTCTTCTTCTTCTTCTCCTCCTCCTCCTCTTCTGCTTCTCTCTCAGGCTTCCACCTAGATGGCCGGCAGGTGCTGCAGGCAATTAAATATTGAGTCTGATTGAATCATCTATTGAATCTGTTGGATCCACAACGAACCTTTGAGCTTTCACTTGGCATTTTTTTTAGCGCCTGTGGTGTCCAGTGCCCCAGGTTCGTCACAGAGTTTCTCGGGGTACTTCAGCAAGCTCCGGGAGCCATTTGGATGTGCATAGCACATAAAAGGCGTCAAGGCCACCATAGTCCTGCAATGGGGAAAAAAGCCTGGGAAGACCCACCTCGAATTGAAGCTTGTCTTAAACAGGTCTAACACAGAGCAGTAGTCTAGGAACATCTCTGCCTAATTCATATGCATTCATAAAAAGGTACAAGGAGCAGTTTATCATAGTTTATCATGGGCAGCCCAAGAAACCATCTTGAGCATCGGTTTTGAAGAAAAAATAACTACAAATCTGACTTGGCTTCGAGACATTGATGCTTTTTGCTCCCACGGAGCCCGGTTCATTGCCAAGTAACGTGGTTGAAAAGGCACTGAGGAGCAAGCTGCCCATTGTGCCTGCAGTAGTGTGGACTGGAATCTCCTAGGTGTGCATCCCAGTAATGGTTTATAATACATCAGATAACCCATATAGAGGTTCCTGAAATGGGGCTACCCCAAATATAGGATGTTCCATTGTAAACCATCCATGTTGGGGTACCACCATTTATGGAAACCTCCATATGTAACCTGGAATTTACCCACATACAATGCAGGGGATGAGATCCCGCAGCGATTACCTGCGAAACATTGAAGCCCACAGGCTATGGGTCAACTGATGATATATATATATAAAACACATAAATATATGTGTTGTAAATACATCTGTTATCTAAATATATATGCTGTATATATATATGATATATAAGTTATATATATGATATATAAGTATATGTTACTTTTGTATATATATATATATGTTTTTAAATGCATATGTTACAATAAATAAATAATATATATATATGCAATTAATACAAATGCTATATATATGTCAAATATATGTTATATATACATATATATATATATTACATAGATCTATGTTATATATATATGTTCTAAAAATATATAAATGTAATATATACGATATACAAATATATGTCATTTATTTATATGCTATGTATATACATATGTTAAATACATATGCAATACATATAATATATATATATGGGTGTTAAATATGTATATATATATGTTACATATATATGTTATATATGTATATGTTATATATATGTGTGTGTGTTATACACATGTGTTTACAAGAAACATAGTGTTTCTCCCATCAAATACAGAGTTTCCTGTAAGTTCTCCACCAATTCTGAAACACAATGTTGAGCCTCTTCAAAATTGTGGAAACGGGTTGTAATACCCAAGATTGTAATGTTCCATTCATGTGACAATGTAACAAGTGGAACAAGTGGAATGGAATTTGGATTATTTTCTGCTGCTGTTCCCAACATTTAAAGCAACAGGCTTTGTCACCAAAGTGCTGCTGACTTTGGGCCATGACCATTGCCGGTCTTTCGCTAGAAAGGATGAAGCCACACAGCACAGCACCAGCCACAGCTGCGTCGCAGGCACCAGGAGCACTGTGAACCTGGCCGTCAGAGGATCAAATCAATTGTCAATGTCTCTAATGACTCTAGAATATATATATATATATATAAGGAATATATATATAAGGAATATATATATATGTGTGTGTGTCATATATATATATTGTTAATGTTCATTAGGTTTATTCTGTTTAGTATGTGTATTATGGTCCTTGTGTTTACTATTCTTATTAAAAACATAATGCTTATTGGCTTATTATGTTTGGTATGTCTATAATGTTTACTATGTTTATTATGTTCTTGATATTTGTCGTGTTTGACATGTTTGTCATGTTATTCTTATATCATCTTATATCTATTTCTACAAGTCTAGACACTTTCACGATCATGCAGATCATGCAGGTGCACGTCAATGATTGAACTATGTTTTCTCTTGTCCGTCCATTGCTCCTCTGATTATAAATTACTTTGCTCCTTGCTTTTTTAAACGACCACAATGTAAAACTCAACAAAATCAAGGGTGAGCCGACAGGCATCTTGTGGGCTAGCAAAGAATGCATAGCGAACAGTCCAGGTATGGTGGTCCAAATGATTGTAGAAAAATCTCAATATTGACGGCATGGAAATTGGTTGATTTTACTCTGTAGATCCACATCTGTATCTGAAAAATGATCAAAATACGTTCACCCTGAAGTTCACCCTCGTTTACCGTTTCCTGTCCATACACTCGTCACTCGTCTATTGTAGTATATGTACAAATATTACATACTATAATAATATATGTAAGGAATTGTACAGACACAAGAAGTTGTAAATGCACGGATCTCCCATATAGCACGTGTACGTGTGTGACTTTTGGACGCATCTGCACTCATGTGACCATGATTCAAACCCATCTGAAATGCCTGCCAGCTCTCTTTTTGTTGGCATTCTTGGCATTCTTGGGCGCGGCTATGGCTTAAACCAAGAAGCAAGTAGTTGCTGAAGGTCGAGCCCATGATGCATCTGAGGCCATAGAGATCCAGGTCAAGGATGAACAGCTGGCTGGTGCTGAAGAAAATCTGGCAGCAGTGCCATAGAATGGGGCCCTCATCACAAGTCATCACAATGTGGTCATGGACCAATCTGGAACCTAGCTGGATATCGGATTGGGGCTGACTTACATATCTTAAATGATGGCTTGGTGTGACTACTTCTTCTGCGAAAATGCCGCACACTGAACCCTACTGAAACACATTGAAACCGTTTTGGGCTGCACACTGGGCTGCCGTGGCCTCCACTTCGGAAGGCCATGACAGATCAAGGAGACCAATGATGGCCAGACATTGAGCGGCATTCAACATCACCAGCGCGATCATGCCTGAACCCATGTGCTGGTGAATGACCTTCTTAAACATCAACGCGACTGTGATCTTGGTGTCACAATGTTTCTGCGATTCATGAAGCATTCCACCAGCTGCTGTGGATTTTAAAATTTAGAAGTTGACATGTGGTGGCATGCACTAAACATAGCATGGCCACTGCGCAAGGATGACAACATGATGCCAATGCAAATTGGCTCAAGCCAACGAAAGTTGGCTCAAGGGCGAGACGAAAAAGGTCTTGCCTAGCAGCTGCTGATTCAGCTGTTGATCCACGGGTTATGAGCCCAAGGGATCTCAGCTGACATGGAGCTTGCTGGTCGCCGTGAGTCTTCCCTTCAGCGAAGAGCTGCTGCTGCTGTTAGCGCTGTGAAAGCTGCCGGCTGCGCAGACGACCTGATGGAGGAGATGTTGGAAGAAGCTGCTGGGTCCGGAACTGGTGGGTCCGTTGGAGCTCTGACTGGTGAACCTAATACCACTGAACCTGTGAATAGTGGGGGTATGTTGGATGCTCTTGGGCCTGTAGGACCTCCGTTGTCTTTTTCCCCTGGCAAGCCGCCCATGTTAGTTGAGGGAGCTAAGGGAATGCAAAACCTCGAGGTGAAACAAAACGTTGAAAACACACCTGGTGTCAAAAGGGTCGTTGTGACAGAGCAACAAACTGGGAACCCACCAAATGAGGGGCATAGAACTACCACCGAACCAGTGCAGGGGATTGTGAATGAACATAGTCCTAGAAATGGTGCTGGTAAGGGAAAGGGGTCTGGCTCTGAGTCTGGTAGGAAAAATGTTGCCGCAGAAGCACAACACTCAAACCGGGATGTGCAGAGCTCACGTGTGAGGGGTTCTGAGGGTGTTGAAAATGTGTCGCAGGACTCACGAATGAGGGGTTCTGTTTGTGAAAATGTGTCGCAGGACTCACGAATGAGGGGTTCTGTTTGTGAAATTGTGTCCCAAGACTCACGCATGAGGGGTTTTGGTCGTGAAAATGTGTCTCAGGGCTCACATGTGAGGGGTTCTGAGGGTTGTGAAAATGTGTCTCAGGGCTCACATGTGAGGGGTTCTGAGAGTTGTGAAAATGTGTCACCGGGTCCCACTGGAAAGGGTTCGGTTGTTGTGAGTGAAACCATGCCTCAGGGCTCCGCGAAGGGTTCAGGGGTTCAAAGGTTTTACATAGGTGATGGGCCTCAGGGCTCCGGAGCCGTTGTTGTCGCGCCTCAGGGTAGCAAAAATGTTGTTGTGGTTCCAGACCAAATGGGGGAAGTTGTGAATCCCTTCTGGAGCGAAACTCAGCAGCGTGAAGCTGTTCGAGAAGCATTCGGGCCTGGGTACGATGTGAGTGCCTTGGGTTTGCAGCCGGGTTCAAATGCGTCGACACCCCAAAAAGTTCATGTGGAACAAAGGGAAAGTGTTGATGTTGAAATGGATCCAATAGAACTGTTCCGATTGCGTTGTTTGAGAGATGCTGAAGAAAAGTTTCGGCAGGGTTTGTTGAATATGGGGATGAGTGCCAAGGAGTCAAGGGTTGAAAAACATGAGCATGAAAAAGGGTCGCATGGTTCTCAAAGTTCATATGTTTCGGCAGTGGATTTCCAAGAGCCTGTTGCCCCCAAATCTCATGATGTGGTTGAATCCCAAATGGTTCATGATCCATATGTGAGGGTTGTACCTGAAAAGGCTGTGACGTTCACGAGGGTTGCACCTGAAAACGTTGTGTCAACTGTGTCAAATGTTGTTGAACCATTTGTGCCTAGGCCACCACCTGGACCTCCACCACCATCGCCGCCAAGAATGTTGAATAGTGTATGTGGGTTAGGGTCAGTAACACCTCAATTCCCTCCTGCACTGCCACCTTTTCCTGCGTCTGTGGCAGGAAACTTGCAAAACTCAGGTGGTGAAAATCCATCTGAAAATCTCAGGACGGTGGAGCTTCCGAAGTTGTCCATGGATGCCACTGCTCTGCAATTTGTGGATTGGCTCAGCATCATCGATTCTCTCATGGGTGACTTGTCGTACTCGTCGGGGGATTGGTGGACCATGGTCAGGGGAGCTGTTGATCAGTGTTATAGGGATTGGTTGAATGTTGGACCAATTGAAAGGCTTAGGCTTCGACCACAGGTGGATCCTAGGGTTCATCTTTGGCCTCGAACGGAAAGAAGGGCTTTAGCCATGCTTTTGGGAGCCATTCCTGACCCCATCAAAGAAGAAGTGATTTCAGCTCGAAAACTGACCACTGACCAAGTGTTGTACAAGTTGTGCATCACCTTCCAACCGGGAGGTGCTACTGAGCGCACGAAGTTGTTGCAGAACATTACGGATTCCAAATGTGGTTCCAATGTTCATGAAGTTTTGGACTGGATTCGAACCTGGCGACGGTTTGTTCAAAGGGCCAGGGAACTCCATGTCACGTTGCCTGATGGTTTGGTTTTGCTAGGGGCTTTGAACAAATGTACTGATGTTTTGAGTGGAAAATCCCCACAAGTGGCATATCGTCTCAACATGATCCGCCAGCAGTTGAATGTGGATCAGTTGCCAACAGCAGAGACGATCCTGAGCTACTCCGAGCATCTGCAAGCTGAAGCTGAAGAGCTGACTTTGAGCGCGCCTGCGAAGGCAACTTCGGCTGTGAGGGCTGCTGCTTTGGGTGTGCCATTGCCTCCTGGGATCCCTCAAAATCCTCAAAGTTCCCCAAAACCTCAAAATGAATCGGATCCGAGGTTTCCGAACTCAAAAAGAAGGCCTTGTAGGTATTGGATGAGTGAAAAGGGGTGTACCAGGGGTGATCAATGTTCTTTTGGTCATGCGAATTTGGACCCCCAAAGTAACCGATGTTTCAACTGTTCTGCTGTGGGTCATTCAAAACGTGACTGTCCTTTGAAGAATACAGATGATAGGGTTGCCAGGTGTCGGACCCCCCATAACACTACTGGGGACCAAAAAAAGGGTTGCCAAGGTGTCAAAACCAAGTGGAAAAGGGACCCCCGAAAAGTATGGGAAGGGTATTGGGGAACATAGTAGCCCTGAAAAAACTACTGGGGATGTTGCTGCAGCAGAAAAGCCTCTTGGATCTGAAACTGCGTACAGGACTGGGCCGGAAACTGGGGATGGGGGAGAAAGCACCCCTGAAAGGGTCACTGGGCTTGAAAACCCTCAAACCGGTTGCCAAAGCTGTCAAAATCAAAAGGGTGAATGCTCCTGATGGACCCACAGGTCTCTTGGATGGTGGGGCAACAAACGCTTTGAGAAGGGGAACCCCTCAAGAACTGGCTGAAGCTGATCCTGTTGTTGTGGAGTTAGCACATGGATCGGTTGAACTGAAACAACATGCTTTGACGGGGACCATTCTCACTGAACATGCGGTTGAACCCATTGTGCCATTAAGGGGATTAATTGACCTTGGTTTTGTCATCAAATGGAGTACCCATGGTTGTGAAATCAAACACCCCTCAAGAGGAACCATTCAGTGTTGGTTGCGAAATGGGTGTCCTGTTGTGTCTGAAAAACATGCGTTGGGGTTGATTCATGACATTGAGTCTTTGGAGTTAGCCAAAAGAATCCCTTCTGAAAGTCCTGAAACCGTGTCTGAGACTGCACATGAATGGTGGTCACAAAGGTTTCCGAATGTTCCCAAAAGAATTTGGAGATACATGAAGGGTCAAGGGGTTGACACTCCAGGGGTTCACTTGCCTTGGAATCGTGCCCAAAGGCGTCGACATGCCCAAGCTAAGGCGATTGTCATCCACCTGTATGCCGGTGAAGCATCTAAGGATTGGAGTCTTGGTTGGCCTGCTGACGTTGAAATGATCACCTTGGACGTTCGAGATGGTCAGAATGTCCACGATGCTGCAACTTGGGCCTATCTTTGGCGACTTGCTGCATCCGGTCGTGTCGTAGCTGTGTTGGGGGGACCACCATGTCGTACTGTGAGTAGATTGTTGGAAAAAACGCCAGGACCACCAAGGTTGCGTTCAAGAAATGGTCCTGAAAGGTTTGGGTTTGAACACCTCAATGAATCCCAACAACAAAAAACGGACAGTGACACTGCGCTGTACTTGAAACAGTTGGGGTTGTACATGCATGCTCACGAGTCATGGGATGGTTCACGATGGCCCCACATGAAACATGTTGCGAATAGGGTTGGATTTATGTTGGAATCCCCTCAAGACCCCAAAACTTACCTCCAAAATGGTGAAGGGGGTGAGTCTGCGAGTTTTTGGGCTTGGGATGAAACAAGGGATTTTCTTGAAGCTTTCCAACCAAATGGAATGGAGTTAATCAGTTTTGACCAGGGTGCGTTTGGGCATACTCGGAAAAAACCCACAACATGTATGACCAACCTCCCTGACATGAAAGAACTAGATGGCTGTCGCTCTGGTGAACGTGAACGACACTTGGCGGTGAACTTGGATGAAAGGTTGAACCAAACTGCCTCTTGGTCACTTTGGGCACCAGGGTTGAGGGCTGCCATCAAAACGTCTTTGTTGGTTTTGGTTGAATGGTATGGGATCTCACCACCAAAATTGTCCAAAAGTTTGGGGTTGGATCAATGGAAACAACATATCAACCAAGGACATCAACCATACCGACGGGATTGTAGGACATGTATACTCAACATGGCTGGGTCAAAACCACACCGACGTAGGGAACATGCTGGGAGTTCTGCTTGGACCATGTCTGTTGATTTGGTGAACCTCCCCAAAGCACGTGACCTTGCTACCAAAAAAGTTGTGAGATATGGTTTGGTTGCCACAGCCCTTGTTCCGGTGTTTGACTCTCCTCCGGGGGACGAAACGTCAGCTGCCGAAAAGCCACTTGTTGCTGGCGATGTGTCTTCCGATGCTCCGCAACCAATGGAAACTGTGGATGCATGTTGGGGGGAGGGACTTGATGAAAAAGAGTACTCCCTTCAGGGGGACGAAAAAACAGAAGAAAACTCTGAAGGTGATGAAGGTGAAAAAGTGAAAGACCATGATGGAGGTGACGGAAACGAAACTGACTA